TAATGATTTTTGAATCAAAAAGAGCTTCCAATAAAACCGCAATCGTTGTACTCCGTAATCATTAACAAATCTGATCATTGTTGAAAATCGATTCTTATATCGGACTTCGTCAAGATGAATTCCGCGTAACACACGGTGGAGACGAGTTACTCTCGTCACGGTCGGCATTGTATAAATATTACATTATACCCACACTGTTTGTGTAGGTTTAAAGTCTTTGTAGCGTAATATTACACCGGAACATCAAGCCAAAAGTCCATTAAAATAATTAAGAGACCGCTTTCTGAGGGATGCAATATACCTAAGTAGAAGACGAGGAAAAAACCTTCTACAACGTTATAATGCATACCTGTCCGCCTTATAATGGAAGCCTTTTGTAATGGTATCGTTACCACCACCACGACCGCCCGGCTCATCGTCGACGTCTCAGGGAAAACTTTGGACCCTTCATCTGAAACATCTTGGCACTTAACAATTTTAACTCGATAAACTCGTTCATCGTCGACTAAACTCATTATGTGTGGAGTCATTGAATTTATAATTTGCCCCCCCCCTGAACTGGTTATGAGCAACTGTACAGCAGCAAACGACGTGAAATGACATTCAGAAAGTGAGTTATGCGCTGACCGATCGACTGAACTGCCAGCAATTTGTATTTGTCTAACTTTTGCCCTTCCCTACCTGTTGACATAGCGGTCGGATAAAAAGGTATTGCGCTTGAAATATGTAGCCGGTGTTCAATATTACTTGTCCTCATATAATTTGTAGTTGCTGCTAACTTGTAAGTGGCAACTATTCGAATGACGGTTGTTGTATATTATCATCACACAACTCATGGCGATGATGACTTCTCGGTGGACGCGTTTTGTGTTGTTACAAATGTTGCGGTCTCACAAAAGTATAATAAAAGTCAACAACACTGAATGCAAATATTATTTATAGTATGGTCATGTTTATTTTCAAGAGTTTGTAATTCATTATTTTTAATATATATGTACTTGCACGTGAAAAGCGATTAGATTAAAAAACTTAAAATTAAAAACTTTTTAATTATTACAATTTATATTGAATTGTATCGGCAATTTTTGTCGATACTTGACCAAAACGTACCAATTATGCATAATTAATACGTTTACCTTCATACATAATATAATCAATAAAGCGACTGGCATCGATCGCAATGACAACAACAGGCGAACACAGCTCTGAATATTTTGTCCTAAGTGTAAAGAAATGTCTTTATTAAGAAATATGACATTTAAGTTTTAGGAAAGCACAAAAAAGTTGTTACATTACAACCTATTCATGGTTAGAATAATGCGCTGTTTTTTGTTATTGTGAAATACATTTTGTACAAATATGAACAAAGATTAAAATCAGAGAAAATGATTTAAATATCCTTTGCAGCTATTAACAATATTGGTCAGAGATTCCACGAATAAATTTATGTATATTACTATTTAATTGGAGTAGTTGAAAAATACATAAAACTCATTTTCAGTAGCTAATAATTAAATTTGCATCCATAAACATTGTAATATCTAGAAATTTATTTCACAAACTTATGATGTTTAATTATATAAATCAGAACCCGAATTTCAATTCAAAATTGAATATATTATGTATATTTGCGTCTACAAAAATGATTGATAGTGTATTAATTATTGTAAAAATGCTAATGTTTAGTACGTTTTTTTATTTAAATATTATATGGTAAGTAATTTATAATTATATATTATTTTTAAATTGCATATAAAATTGATTACACCCTATTTTTTAAAAGTTCAGTATATCTTAAGATATAATAATAAAAATATATAATTTTATAATAAAAATTGATCAATTGTGGTTAATTAATTAATTAAAATGAAAACTATTAAAAATATTAAACTCAATATGTACAATTATTATATATAATTTATTAACGATTCAAAAAAATCTTTTTTAATTTTCCATTAAATTATGATCAATATTTCATAATAATTTATATATATGACATATTCACATTGAGTATACATTTAATTTTAATTTTTTCAATTGGTAATAGTATTTTTGAGCTATGTTTTTTATAGTAATAACTTTTTTTTTAAATGAATATTTTAGGCCTTTTTATTGTTAATTATCATTTGAAATAATTTTATTAAGTAATGTTAAATAACCTATCTATAGTATAATATAATTTTTATACGGATTTACTCAATTTTTTAACTTCGATGCGAACCTGAGAAGGTATTAATTTTACTATGTTGTATTTTCTTTTGTCTCTATGCCACTTTATCTCTGCTCTCGCCGAATTGACCCTATCAACGATACGTCCAAAGATCATAAATCGTATCTTGTCCTAGAAATTGCTCTCAAAAATTGAAAAAATGTTCCTCGTTCTCCGTTCAATGGTAAGTCTTCAAAAAAATTACAAATTTAAAAATCGCTAATTTTCGACATTTTTTCAATTTTTTTTATTTAAAACTGCATAACTTTTTGATAAGTTTATGAATTAATAAATTTTTTTTTAAATAAATATATTAGGTATTTACCTATTATTTTATATATTTTTTAACTAAACTTTTGAAAGTGATTTGGAAATACTGATCTTTTACTTTTTATACAGTAACTTTGATAATGATAAAACATAATTGAATTTAACTACCTCTCTGACTTTGTCTAAAACTTTTAATATTTAAATTTTAATAAATTAGGGAACAGTTTAAAATTGATTACTATTGTAACGAAATTTTTTTATGTATTCTTCTTTTAACAGTATAAAAATATTTACTTATTCCTATTTAATTATCATGAGTTATCCACAAAACACCCTGACACATTTTTTTTCTTGAAATTTACTATTGTTATAAAAAATAGAAAATTATCAATGTGTTTTTTTAAAAAAACATTATTTATTTTTTATAATCATACTGTATCATAAAAAAGATAAATTACAAAAATTGTTATGTATTTGATTATCCAAGTTAAATTACTTTAGCACTGTTTCACATTATACTATTTGGAATATTCACAAGTTCATAAAATTATTTATTTATTTAAGTTAACATAATTTTTCCAACAAAATGTAATATTTTCTACTAAGTTTTAATATGAACTTTTAAATACTAGTGATGAATAAGTATTTATAAAAGTGCTTACCAAAATATCTGTGTCTGTGTTAAATTTGGATTTGAGTATAATAGAAGTGAACATTTACTTGTGTTTTTGTTTTCAACGAAGTTTTTTATTAGGACCAAAACAACAATAAATTATTAATATTTTGTTTTTAATATATTTTTGGCGTTTTAGTTAAAGTAATGATCACAACTTTAAAACAATAAACATGTTATAGATTAACGTAAAACAACATAGTAGAGCACATTTCGCAAAATTATTGCTCAAAAATGTTTCATTCGCTATAACAACAACCACTCGACTCACTCCATGGGGTTTCTCCGAGGATAGACGTAGGGCATGTTATCATTTAAAGAAATTACATGCCTTTTAATTTTTTTAGATGTTTTATTTATGAGTCAACACCCTTTTCTTCTCTCAAATAACTCATCAAATAAAGATGGCTCCCAACAGGTTTTAGTTATCTTTATATTGTGTTATTTTATGTACATATTTCTATGTACTAAAATATTTTTTAAGACCATTGCAATAAAAGTTTTGATTTATTTTTATGTCTGGAGCACAACGTATGTAATAGTAAAAATACTATTGCTACTGATCATGCTCGGTGTATTAAACGGTTCATTTAACACCAGGTAAATAGGGTTTTATAAATTTTGGTGTTGTACTTTTTGAAAAAGCTATTTTACTACAACATTAAAGTAGTTGGTCAAAAAATTTATCGCTAATAAAATGTTTATTTTCCTGTGATATTTTTAAAATCCTCTCAAGTTATCTAAAAAATATTTCTATGGAATCAAATAACCAAAGTCAATAGTGCTTACTCCGCAACATGTGTCCACCTGCCTCATATTCTGTATTTATCAGCGCCGTCAACTTCCTATATACCGGCCAAGTCTGAGCGCAAAACCGTAATTCTTCATAAACCCAAGATTTCGGCATCCCGTTCAACGTTTCAGTCGTAAATCACCAGAGTTTAATCAAAATGAATGGCCCGCCAGAAGTCGGGAGGTAAACACAAAAGTGTTGGCGTATGTTCGAGATGTGGGTGTATTGTCTGCATGAACATACAAAGGCGTATGTATGGGAAAATACCACACCTATACGGATAAAACATTTGATGGATATTTTCTTAGAATACAACCAACATATTATCTAACTAACAATTACTCCATAACACGATTCCTTTATTCTCAACAGTTCTCATTTATAGTTGTATCCTAACAGGTAAAACAAAATTCTATTCTTAAATCATTATTACATTTCACCTACTCTAGTTTTCCTGTATTTTGACTTTTCTAATGGTATTATCCTTTCAAAGTTTTTAGGGAAAAGTTATTTTGTGACTTAAACATTTCTTATCGCATTCAAATTTCATTTTCACCAATCATTAGACTATTAACTATTTGGTAGTTTGAAACAGTCTTAACATTAAGAAGACTAATGTATACAAGAAGTATCCTTAATTTTATACTGCTATACTATTCAAACTACACTTTCTCTACAATTACCTAATAACTAATGCGACCGCATTTTGGAGGTATCCGACCCTGTGGCGTAGAAACTCCTGTTGCAACGTCTAATGTTTATATAAACTTAGTGTGATCGGTTCTGAAACTTTCGATTGTTAAAATATATAACGTAGTTAGTCAGTAGTACTTATGGTTGAACTTGAACCCTTTAGTCTTATAACTTATACAAACTGATCATCAATTAACAATTTATGCGAGAATTAAAGCATCAACAATTTTGAATTTACTAAGTACATTTTATTTGAAATTTAAGACTGAAGAAAATTTCTAAAATAAATATTTTATTTTTTCTAGTAAAAATTTTCTTATTTCTAGTAATTTTTGTGCCTAATAAAAATAATTATTACTTACAGCAGTTAGCAATTGAACGATCTCTTGATAAACTGAGAAACATGACAAAAATGGTGCCAATATTACAATAATGGATCCAAAGATTAGAATATACAGTCCAATGTAGACATCCCATATTTGAAGCGTGTCTATCCATTCTTGAAGAACAGTATCCAATCTTGTGTATACTACATAACCCAGCAAAAATACACCAGCAATCTTTGAACATGTAAGAAATATATATATTAAGTTGTCTAAAAGTTATTTTTACACTAAATAAATAATTCTGTTTGACAATATAATTTCCTTTCAAATCATATTTGAACTTAAAATACGCTAAATTAAGTTCTAGTAACTTTATTCGGTACACTTGTATATTTACGTTTTATTTTGTTATTTTTATGTTTTGAAGTTGGAAATGTTGTTTTTACTCTAATCAAATATTATTCATTAATTTTTATTATTTATGATACATTTTGTATCTCAGAGCTATATTTAAAAAAATTCAAATTCTACAACTAAATTAATAATGAAATATTTGTGTTTAGATGTTATTATTCCTAAAAAAGTGGACATATTATAGATTAGGAACTATTTTTTTTAGTACACTTTAAAACATTATATGTACTCTTTATAAGAATATAAAACTGTATTACAAATTTTGTATTATGAGTTTAAAAATATTTTCTATAAATAGTTATATTTTCTTTCAAAACATAGAATAGAATTTAAAAATGATTGAAATCTAAAAGTTAATTAAAAATTTTAAAATTATTAACGACAAAAAGTGCTACCAAAGAACTTTTGTAAACTTTTTCATAATTATATTTCCAATTAGTTTAAATTTTCAAGTTGGAGTCAAATTTTAAAACAACTCAAGCGAAAAGTTTTTTCTTAAAAAGGTTCTGTTTTATAAATTTAACGAAGCTGATATAAACAAAATAGAGTTTTATGAACAACTTTTTGTTAGAAACGCTTTACCGTTAAACTAGTTTTGGAACTGAAGAATTGTAGCGACGGTTTTCTAATGCACCAACCCCATAAGGTACACTAGCATATCATTTAATAATGCTGTCGCAAAACTTTTGACGTCTATCATAAGTTGTCGCCATCTACAACATGGTAACAACAATTTTAGTGTCGCGTATGCTCTTAAAATTGTAAACGATACAACATACAAAAAGTTTTGCTGTTCTGTCTAGAAATACATACCAATTTTTAATGAAAAACAAAGAAAAAATATAGTGTCCAACACTTTTTGTAAAAAATTGAAACGATTGTTTTTCTAAAATACATCCGCTTCGAAACTTCAATAATCACCTGCTATAGCATCAAATACTTAATACCAATTAAAGAGGTATTTTTTTTCTCGCTGACACAACAAATTCATTAAAACTTTTCAGATTATAATTATTTTTGAAATCCTGTTTATCTAAAGTTTCTTTTAAATGTACGACTTAAATGAGAAATTGAAACAAAGTTTGGTTGGTTTATTATAACTCACCTCGTTTGGACAAATTTCTAATAATTATAATTGATATGTTTGTATTATTACATTAATACTTTAAATGTATTTGGCCAAGCTTTGATGCTTGAGTAGATTGATATTTAGTCACAGGCCTTTCCGTTTTTTAACGAGCAATCAGCCTTCTTATAAAGTCGGCTTTCCTTTCATTTGTTGTAGACTAGACAATCTTCTTTGAGTAAGAAAAAACTAAAACAAATCCTATTTGGCAGCAATAATTCTTAATGGGTCGTAAATGTTTAATAAAAAAAAATTAATTTTATCTTTCATCATCTTTTGTTGATTAAAAAAAATACTAATTAATTTGCATCCTCGAAATATTTATAGTATATTTTTTTACTTCATTAATTAAATCAAAATATATTAAGTGTTGATATTTTGCCAACACTGCAAGTATCTTGTGAATGTCTGAGCTGGTGATCACAAGTTGTATTGGAATCATCACGGGACTATGTAGACATAAAACATTGTTATTGTTGTTCTGCTATAGTTTTAGGTGAAAGGTGGTGTAGATAAAACGACCCCTAGGTCGTTTCGATCTCAACTAGAGTATGGAAAGCCTACATGGAAAGAGTCCCCAAGAGTTTACCTTTGATAGGAACTTTGCTAATTAACGGATTACGTCTAAGAGAAAAGATTCCCGAGGCAATGCTGTTGTACTAATAATGGATATACCAATGTATTAAATGTATCTATCAATTTAATTTCTTCTTCTACATATTCCGTTCCTTTTGCACGTCTGCTTTCTGAATGTCATAATATGATATAATGGATAAACAGTCATATCAAATATCATGAAACTGTTTATTTTATTAAAGATATGTCACAGTATTTATGCATTATTATCATTCATAAATATCTTTGACCTTAAATACATTAACAATTCAACAGTGAAATGTAATCATATAACATTAAATATAATTCGGCCAAATTGCTTTAAATTTTAATGTTTTCTGTACACTAGATGTAAACTATTCAAGCAACATTATAAATAAGTTTTATTTAAAAAAAATGAGACTTTGAAAATTTGTAACATAATTTATCGGCTTCGTTTGAGATTTTCTTACAAGTTAATATATTAGAGTTGAGCTCAATCTTTATAAAATAACTATCAAATCATTTTTTTAAAATTATGGTATTTAAATCGACAAAATCACAACACCAAAAACAGCTAATTGAAAAAAATAATTATTTATTCCTTCATAAATAACTATATTACTTAATATCATTCACCATCAATGTTCGGAATATCGCGTAACTTATTATTTAAAACACGTTATTTATGTTATTTGGATTCAAAGCATACATTATTAAGTTTAATTATCTTAACCAATATTTACTTTGTACTCTTTTTTTGCATTTTGTCTTTAAAATTATTTTGGGTTTGCAGTAATTTAAATGATTTAAAATATTACGAAAAGATATCATGTTTCTAAAATAACACCTCATCTAACCAAAAAACATGACTTCACTTAATAAACTCAGATAAGTTTATGTTAATAGTAGTATACTTTTCACTTCAATGCAAAAGTTTTGACCTTAAGACTTCTAAAATTTCGAGTTATCTTAGTTTTATGAAAGTTAAACACATTCTCATTTAAAAAGTTTATTACAAGTATTAAAATTGTCACAATTCTAAAATCCTAAAATGTGCTTCGTGAATTTATTGTACAAACAGAACATTATACCATAGAAATTATTCGTGTTAATTTAATCAAACGAAATTACTGTGTATTTTATTATAAAATAGTTTTGTTTTAATTTCTAGTTTGGAGAATAACTTGATTTAGAGAATGACAAAAAAATGGCCTAGTACCTCAAATCATATTTTAGTTATTGTAACGTACTCTACTTCTTTTTAGAGAAAATCGCATGGAATGGGTTGTTACTTACATATTTGTATAAAATTGCTTAACATACATTTTATATTTAATAATATAAATTAGATAAAAACTGTTAAAATTATAAATTTTACAAAATGTATTAATTTCTCATATCTGGTACGTAATAACCGATAAATAGTCATTAATAATTCCCGTTTATTATCTATAAATCGAGGTAACCAGTAACTAAAGACTTATTATAGTATCATTATTGAACAAAGTGCTATTATCTAGTATGTTTTATGTTCTTTTTCTATATATTAATGCTTCTTAGAGGATCGTAATAGGAAAAGTGAGTATAAAGATCCCTTAAAAATGTGATAGTTATTAAAATTTTAAAGACATTATTTTTTAAAGTTCCTAATGTACCTCTACTACTTTTTCCCCGAGTCAAGCACTGTCTGTCGATTACATCATTAATCTATGAAAAATTCATGTTACATAAATTATTAATTTGGCATGACATCAAAAAAAAAATATTTAGTCGTGGAAAATTAAGAAATAAAATATAAGATTAGCTTATGTAAAACTAACATATAAACATATAAATGTTGTAAATAACGCAAGTTTTGAAGGAGTTTAAATCTCGTATTTTGAATTAATCAATGTAAAAATAATTAATAAAAATTGTATATAAAAACCCAGCACAGGGGGGTCGCGGCACAGTGGTGACGTGGCATAGTTGGATCAAGTATAATGATATCTGATAGTGATTAAAATCACTATAAAAAAAAAAAACGCTTCGATGCAAATCTTTAGATAGTGTTTTATTTAAAAAAATTGGTGGATTATTCCAAATGCTACATGATCTGCTATTGGCTTCGATGCGAAGCTGAGAAGGTATTGGTTTTACTATGATGTGTTTTTTTTTTTTTATTATTGTGTCTGTTACCACTTTTTCTCAGCTCTCACCGAACGGATTTCTTTCAACGATACGTCAAAAGATCACAAATCGTATCTAGTCGAAGACAGTACTCTCAAAAATTGAAAAAATTTCCCTCATTCCCCGTAAATGGGGTGAACCTCCAAAAAAATTACAAATTTAAAAATCGCTAATTTTCGAATTTTTTTCAATTTTTTTTACTAAAAACTACCATAACTTTTTCAAAAATGAACATATCAATATAATTCTTTTTTATATAGATGCTTGATGTCTTTACTTATCATTTGGTATATTTTTTTTGTAAATCTGACACTTAACCTGCCCACAGGGGGGGATTTAAAATGACAACTTTTTCACAAAAAATTAACTTTTTCAACTTAACTTTTGAAAATGTTCCGGAAGGTCTGACACTTTTATATATATCTTAAATTAAATCTAATGTAATGTACTTTAATTTGAAAAAAAAAATTTGACCTCTGGACTTGTCTTCATAGTGAAAACGGCTACCGAATGCTATTTTTGTGTGAAAATTTTCGATTTTATAATTTACATTTTTTACTTTAAAGTGCTATAACTTTTTAAAAAATGTATGAATCATCACAATTTTTTTATGAAAAATAATATTTTTTAATAATCCCTATTTCATTCGACATACTTTATCTTAATCAAGATATTCATAAGGAACTAGCAGATCATGTAGCATTTGTAATAATCCACCAATTTTTTTAAATTAAACACTATCTAAATATTTGCATCGAAGCGTTTATTTTTGATAGTGATTTTAATCACTGTCAGATATCATTATACTTGATTCAACTATTCTACGGCACCACTGTGCCGCGACCCCCCTGTGCTGGGTTTTTTACTCTTATGTTCACTTTATTCAACAAATAATTTCGTTTATGTTTTTTTCAATATTTCGATAAAT